TATATATATATATTTGAACTTAGTAAGAATGCTCCTGGGGCCAGCAGATGGTGTAGCACTTACATTGCTGGACTCCTACATGGCCAACCCCAGTTTGAGTCTCAGACTTGGTGGCTTGAAACTCACTCCAGGCTCATGAGTGTGGGAGGCCCAAATTCCAAGAGGAGAATGGAGGGGAAGGGATTGTGGTGTGGCCATCCCCTGCTGGGAGATGATTTCTCATTTGCTATCCCTATCTCTCTGGTGAGCACACATACCCTGTAGCAAAAATCTTTCTTTAAGAAAAAAGTAAATATATACACATATTTTAAGAAAATCTATACAGATGTATAATTGGGTGTGTGTGTGTGTGTGTGTGTGTGTGTCCCATAAATTCTTACTTAATTTAAATGCTTTTATGAGAAATGAGTATATTTTGTCACAGTAATATCAGTATCTGTTGAGATTTGTTATAGTATTGATTCTATTACATCAAAGATGAATTATTTTAATGGGCTTCTAATACTGAACAACTTCTCCATTCAGTCTTATATTATTTTCTTAGTTCTTCCACTGGATTGTTTATTCAAATTTCATTTAAGAGTTTCAAATTAATAATCACAAATGAGATAGACCTACAGTTGTTTTTTCCTTTGTGCTATCTTTATCATGTTTAGCTATCAATATTATACTTGCATCCTAATTTTTTTAACATAGAAGTTACTATTTTAGGTAAGATTTGGGAAAATTTATATTCATATAGCATTGAAATTATCCACCCTATACATCTGGACATGGTATATTTTTGGTAGAATAGCTATTTAATAAATGTCTGTAGTTATTCTTTAGAAATTAGTCCATGTAAACTTTTCCTCTCTAGCTGGATCAATTCAAATAACTTGAATTTTTCTACTAAACTAACTATTTTATCTAAGTTTTTCTAAGTTTGTATATGAGATTGAATATAATTTCATTTGTTTTCTAATTTCCTATTTTGCTAGTTATCTTTCTAGATAATATTATTTTATACATTTGTGCTTTTTGTTTTTTTAGATTCAATTAGTAGGTAGTCATCTATTTGATAAAATATTTTTAAAAGTATCCTTTTGAATTATGCATCAATTTTATTACTTTTGGTTCTCTACCTTGTTAATGTCTATTTTTATCTTTATTATTTTGCTTCTTGTATTTCTTTTTTCTTCTAACTTTCTAAGTTAGAAATTTAACTTTTTTATTTTCATTATTTTATGATACTGATATAAAAATTTAAAGCTATAAAATTGTCTTCTGGTTTTTTTGTGTGTATTTTATAAAATCCAATGACTAATTATGCAATTTTGTTTTTTTAATAGTATTATTTACTATCCAGTTGAAAGGACATTTGTATATATTTTAATTCAGTTGTTAGAAAATTTGAACAAAATGTTTATAATTTATCAAACTATATGTAGCATTATATTTTCTGTGACATAGAAGGATAAAAATAACATCCTTTCCTATATGAGGAGACTTCACAATATTTGAGGGGAAAAAATAGAATTCAATTACAAGTTTATTTGGGGGCAAAAAATAATTCTGAAAACCATGTAGAGTAGTTTCATAATATACATTTTCAACAATATGTTCAAGAACATATAGATAGATAGATAAATAGAAATAGGTTATATATAGGTAGTTAATAGGTATAATAATGTATGCTATAGCTTACAGGTCAGAGAATGCTATAATCCTCTGTTAGAATGTCAAAGTTGAATGTAGAGTTTAATAACAATGGTTTTTTAATATAAATTCTAGGCCTTCTTCATTTTAAAAATGCCCCTATAGGTCCTAGCACATTGTTGGACATGTACACATGTACCAGATACAGTACATTCTTAATAATAAGACAGAACCAGCAGATGACATAATGGTTATGTCACTGGACTCCCACGTAGTTGACCCCGCAGTCTGAGTCCCAGACCTGGCAGCTTAAAATCTCACAATGGGTACATTTGCATGCGTGCCCAAAATTCCGAAAGGAGAAGGGATTGCGGTGTAGTCATCCCCCCAGGTAATGATTTCTTGTTTTCTTTCTCTCTGTCTCACTCTGTCTCTCTGGTGAGTGCATACACCCTCCTATAGCAAAAATCTCTCAAAAAATAATAAATAGACAAGGCATCATTAAAGAATGAGCAAAAGAGAGAAACCATACAAAATAAAAAGGTTATTGTTAAGGACAGATTCAATCCCCACTGTGCCAATGAAACTTTAGACAAGTTATTTATAACCCATAAAAGTATATCTTCATCTATTAATGAATACACTTATTAGGAAAAAAAAAAAAAGAAACATTTGCTTAACCCTCAAATGGAAAATTCTCAATTCTATTACCTGATCCTCTGATAAGTGATGTACGAGGGAACTTCAAAAAGCTTGCGGACTATTTATATTAAAGTTTGGGTTTGTGTGCCAAAAATTAGAAATCTATGTATAGTTTTTTTAAAAAAGATTTTTGCTATAGCGCATGTGCACTCCTCAGAAAGACGGAGAGAGACAGAAAGCAAGAAATCATCCTTTGGGGGTAATGGCCATGCCACAATCCCTTCTTCATTCTCTTCTCGGGATTTTAGGCATGCCCGCATATGTTCCAAGCGTGAGTTTTAAGCTGCCAGATCCAGGACTCAAAACTGGTCAACCACATGGGAGTCCAGTGATGTGACCATTATGCCATCTGCTGGTCCCAGGAATCTATGTATAGTTTTTTTAATAATATATGTTTTCTATGAAATTTTTGAAAGTCCCTTACATATGTACATATGTACATATATATATACAAAAAATCTTAATGCACACCAGAAACATAAATCATTCCCATGTCCTTGTATGACTCACAAATTTTCAGTAATTGTTCAAGCGAATGAACTGAAAAATGAATGCAGAAGACTCAGCTGATACCAAACCTTTCTAATTATTGCTTTCAAATTAATTTCCTACTAACTTTTAAAATCTTCCAAAGAATAGTGAAACTAATGGAAAGGTACTAATCCCCTTTCTTCCTGCAACTCTTTGGTTACTTGTGAACAATGGCACAAGTGAAAAGGTAAAAAAAACTACAAGAAATAAATACAAAGAGCAACAAATCTATGAAACAGGCTTGGGCTTTTTAAGACAATTTAGAACTGAACATGGCTTATAATTAAGATATGTAAAATAGAATATAATTATTTGAAAAGCGTAACTTTGAATTTATTATACATTGACAAATGCCCAGTGCTCAATATTATTATTTTTTTGTTTTTTTATGCCTGTCTTTTTTTTTTTAATACATTGAAATACAATACATCACTTAGCTTGTAAAGTGAATTTGCCCAACATGAATACACCTCACATCAGTCCAGTTGAGGACACAATACACATTATACTCAATAGACAACAATCCATTTCTGTGTCTCATAAATGTTTTGCCTCTATTTTTCTCCTTAATTTCTTTCCTCATACTCTCCCTCTTCTCCCACCATCTTCCCCCACTGTGTTCAGTATCCATAACCATTTTCCATGATTATTATTAATCCTTAACAAATGGTTCTTTTGGGTTTTTTTTTGGAGAGGTTTTTGCTACAGGGCGCGTGCGCTTGCCAGATGGAAAGAGACATAGAGACAGAAAGCGAGAAATCACCCCCCCAGGGGGGATGGTCACGTTGCAATCCCTTCTCCTCCATTCTCCTCCTGGGATCTTGGACACGCACGCACACACGCCCTGCGTTGAGTTTTAAGCCACCGGGTCCAGGACGCGAACTGCGAACTGCGGTCAACCACGTGGGAGTCCAGCGACATAGCTATTACACTAACTGCTGGTTCCCAACAAATTATTCTTTGCTTAAACCCACTTCAGTCTGACTTTACTACTACTTCCTCAAGTAGTGTCTTCAGTGGCATCTCTGTTGCCATGTGCAATGGTGACTTACCCTAGATCCCACCACTACACATTATCTCCACTGCTGACAGATCCATATCACTCTATGTCTTGGTTGGATTATCGGAATGACCACTTCGTTGGTTCTATTTTATTTGTCAAGAATTCTGGCTCTTTTCCATAATGCAGCCAGAGTGGGTCAATGAAAACATATGTCGGATCAGATAACTTCTCTTCTGAGTCCAACAACAGAGTCCCCTCTCTTTCAAGGTAGAAGTACAAATCCTTAATTCTTTCAAGGCCAATGCAATTTTAGCCCCCTTCCATCTCTAACCTCATCTCCGGCTGGCTACTCTTCTTTTTGCTCACTGTATTTTAGCCATAGTGATGTGTTTCTTTCCTTTAACTTTTTGAGTTCCCTCTCAACTCAAATTTGCCATTTGTTCTGGCAGTTCTCTCTATCTGGAACACTCTACACACAAAGAGTGGCATGGCTGCTTTTTTTTTTACTTCCTTTGGATCCTTTTGAACTGTTACAAGTGTATATAAGACTTCTATGGCTATTAAAATACAAAATACTCCCTCCCACCTTCTCAAACTCTGTGGTATTTTTCTCTCTAGCATGCTGCAAACTAATGATTTCATTTTGCTTGTTTTCTGTCTGCTGGAAATTAGTTCTATGGGGTTAGAGAATTTAGTTTTGTTTACTGGTATATCTCCAGCACCTGGAACTGTGCCTGTCACTAGTACCCACTCGAGTAAATAAATAAATGTTGAATGAATGAATATAATAATAAAAAAAATCCAACTTCAGATTTAGCGATTTTGTTTGCTAACCAGCAAAACCAGTATAAGAAGAAGATCATCTACTATAAAATCTGTCCCCCATGTAGGAAATCCCCCTAAATTTAATCATCCCCATTCTGTAAAATGTCAGCTATTACCTTGTCCTCTTGACACGTCACATTTCGGAATTTGCGAGCAGTAGCCAACTCGAATGTTTGGATCAGTGGTAAAACACCAGGGTGACTCAGCCCCATCTGGATTTCGGCAATAATTTTCTCTTAGGTCCCTATTGAGAATAAGCATGTTAATGTAAATCGCTTGAATTCTTGTATTGGTGAAATCATTGTTGTTACACTTCTAGAATCACAGCATGTATGCATGTTTATAAATAGAGTTCTAACTTTTTGCAATTAGGTTAGTTATAACAGTTTAGAATTCAGTATACACAAAGCCACACTGCCCAAATTACTGAAATAAATGCTGTCAGATGTCAGTTTTCTTTTCCTTCCATAGGTTCAGATTTCCACTCAAACATTATTGCTTCATGACAGAGAAACTGGACCACTACATTCTTCTCATTTATTCTCATGCTTTGGATTCTCAGGCAGTACCATTTCAAACAATCGGCCTGTTACTTATGTTTTTGTGGCCCACGTATAATGCACAAACACCTATCTCTCTTGTAGGAAAAAGGCTGTTACTAAGAGCTATGAACTATTCTTGTTCAAAATAGAAGTTTAACCTATTTAACATTTTGCCACCAAAAAAAAAAAAACAAAACAAAACAAAACAACAACAGAAACCAAGATAGTGAGGCCAAATGGTGGCACAATCAGAAAATACAAAGTTCTATAAAGCAGACCCACATGGGAAGTTACCGAATCATGACCAGAGACCTCTCTGAGTATGCTAGGCATGCATGTACCCATGATCCAAGGCTCGCTTAATCTGGATGTGGAATGCAGTGTCAAGACCCTCTGAAGGGTACTATCTGTTTGTGTCTCTCTTGCTCTCTCTTACTCATAAAATAGCCAAACACTAGAGAAAAAAAAATGATACCTATTTCTTTCTTGAATTCTGTATTTGCTAGCTGCACAGATTTCTTTTAATTATAAAGTAGTTGTTTCTTGACTTAGAGAAGTTATACAAAATCTTTATAATATATTTGTAAAACTAAAGTCTAATGAGACTACAGAAAAACACATAGAGCAAATTTCCCAATATAGCATATGTACATCTTTTATTTAACCACTAATTTAATTAGGAATTTAGGATTTTCAGTAAGAAAAAATGTCTATATTTTTTATCTTAACATAATATATCATTTAAATAAAATGAGGAGTTTATCATTTGTTCTCTCAAAGTATGTGTCCTAATATTTTTTTGGAGAGGTTTTTGCTATAGGGCACATGTGCTCGCCAAAAAGAGAGAGAGAGAGACAGAAACCGAGAAATCACCACCCCCCCTTGGGGGATGGCCATGCCGCAATCACTTCTTCTCTATTCTCCTCTTGAGATCTTGGGCACACATGCACATACGCCTGCTGTGAGTTTAAGCCACCAGATCTGAGACTCTTACCATGGTTGACTACATATGAGTCCAGCAACATAGCCGTTATGCCAACTGCTGGTCCCAAGTATGCGTCCTCATTTTAAGCAAGCATGTACTTTTTTATAGATCCCTGACTAATAATTTAACTAAATTACAGTTACATTAAATCTATCAGAAACCACAGTATTTGTATCCCTTAGGTTCATCAGAAGTACCATAATTTTGTAACACAGGAATCATCAGAACTTGGAAGTTTTTAAGGAAGACGCTTGCATTTAATTGGAAAATCAACAAGTAACAAATAATCTACTGTAGTCAAAATAGGCCCTGACATAATCTGAATTACTTTAAGAAAATGAGAATATTGTTTGCCAAAAGATGAAGCCATTGTACAACAAATACTCAGTTATAACCTATATTCAAAAATTTACTCTTCTTGTAAAAGTATTAACATTAGAGTTTAAAAAACTTTTCTCTCAAACAAATTTATACTTATTTGACAATTGTCATATAAAATGTGTACATTAAATCTTATGAAATATTTATACAAATTTGCAGTTTTAGATGGAAACTTTTCTTTCAAACAAATTTATACTTATTTTACAACAATTGTCATATAAAATGTGTACATTAAATCTTATGAAATATTTATACAAATTTGCAGTTTTAGATGGATAGCTGCTTACTTAAATCATTTTAGGTTGTTTGGTTTAAATCAAGATAATTAAATGATGAACTAAGCATAGCATATGGTTTAGTATGGGTCTGCTTTTAAAATCTATATTTAGAGTCCCAGTAGGTGGTTAAAGCACTAGACTCTTGTATGGCCAACTGCAGTTCAATTCTCAGACCTGGCAACTTGCTTTCCAACTCTCCTTCTTTCTCTTGCTCTCTCTCTGATCAAACTGAATAATAATAATAAATAAAATTACAATAAAGAATTGTTTTTAAAAATCTATATTTAGAAGCTCCTTATTATTCTAGACTAAGTAAGAATGAAACTAAAGGTTTACCCGAATATTTTTCTAAGTTATTTTCCTTCACTTGAGGAAGGAATTGTTCATAATTACTAAAATAAGTTGATAATTATAAAATTGATGTAGATTCATCACAGGCAGTATTGTTCAATTATCCTGTTTTTAAAAAACACCATTTGTAAAGAATATCAGTTTTGGGGCAAATAACATTTAATAGAACCAGAGGCATCTGATAAACACATCTCTTTCTGCTAGATCACAAATAGTAAACCAATATTTTGAGCAAAATGTTAAGTTAGATTTTATCAGTTTTGTAACACAGTTCACACATTGGTTTTTGATATTTATGTTTGATTATTTTCATCACATAACTAAAGAGGAGAGATTAAATTCTGATAGGATATCATTGTTAAACTTTTGATAATTAAATTTAAATTGTGAAGTCTATAAATTGAATTTCCCCAGTCATTCTCTTTTTCATACATATAAAGTTCAGTGGGTACCTGCACAATTTCTTATTGGGGATTATGAGTCATTAGAAGTTAACAAGTATTGGGAACCAGCAGTTAGCGTAATGGCTATGTCATTGAAATACCATGTAGTCGACCGCGATTCACATCCCGGACCCAGTGGCTTAAAACTCATGTCAGGCGCGTGTGTGTGCGTGCCCAAGATCCTGAGAGGAGAATGGAGGAGGAGGGATTGCGGTGTGGCCATCCCCCCCTGGGGGGGTGATTTCTTGCTTTCTGTCTCTCTGTCTCTCTCTGTCTGTCTGGAGAGTGCATGCGCCCTATAGCGAAAACCTCTCCAAAAAAAAAAAAAAAAAGTTAACAAGTAGTGTATTGGCACTGACACTGTCTCCTTTAGTCCTTTTAAATCATCTTTTGTCATTTTCTTTGCTTTTTTTCATTTGATGTTTACTTCTGAGGTATGAAACACATGGATCAGGGATAGAGTTCATTTCTTTGAAAGAAACAAGGGAAATAAGCCCAGAATGATAACTAGAAATTAGTTATAAAACAATGAAAAAAATAGATGGAGGTTTATTATTTAAACAAATTACTGATTTAGCCCCCCCAATACACAAGCCATCCTCCCTCTCCAGTGGATGAGCTAACTAGTCTGCACAGTGCTCCATCCTGAAATGCTAGGGTGACATTAAAAGCCAATTACATAAAGCCAATATATGTTATTTATAGGTTCTATTTCAGCAAAGCCACTCAATGACATGTGTGTTATAACTCTGCAACGCAATCACTTTATGTTTCTCATAACTAGGTGAACTATTTAGAAACACATGGCATTGTGGCTGTGTCTAACAAAAGTCAAATGGTGAAAATAAGCAGCCGTGGAGAATGCACATAACTATATAATTCACACGCAAGTGCAATTCCTTTCGCTTGATCCAGCTAAACAATTGTTCTACTTCCCCACTTCTCAAAACAAATCTAGAAACAATAAAAAACATTTAAGTTTTTAAAAAAGCATTCCATTCACAGATCTTTAAGGCTAAACAATCACCAGTTTAAAGTTTTGGCTGAGATAAAGTTGGATCTTGTCTTATAAGAGAAAACCCTGTGTAATCTCCATCCAAAGCTAATATGAAAATTTACGAAGGCACTAGTTGAAAATATACCTGATGATCATTATCAATAATCAATTTATTAAGTAGACCTGCAAGAGCAAGGTTGTGATCAGAAACAACCTGGGGATGAGCTTTGGAAAGAATGGTGCATAAACCTGCTGGATGAAAATCACATACAGTGCTTATGAATACATATTTGAGGCCAGCAAGAGGCATGACGGTGAAGGTGTTGGGTCTCACATGGCCCACTTTGCAGTATGAGTCCCAGATCCAATGGCTTGAAAAACACGCCAAAAACAAGTGTGCACATGTACCCAAAATCTTGAGAATGACAAGGATGGCAGCACGGCCATTCCCCCGGATGAGAATGGGTCATTGGTCACTTTCCTTCTCTGTCTGTCTCTCTTTGCTAAGCACACACCCTCTATAGCAAAAACTTAAACAGAACAAAAAGAAACGCATTTTGAGAGTCAAATCCTACATTTAAATAATCAAAATCTTTGAGTGGAGAAAAAATATGCCTTTTAATCCTGATTATCCTTGGGCACACTAAAGTTTGAGGCTCACTAATACAGAAATTAGTAAAAAGTAACTACTCTGCCTCATTTTCCCCAGGGCCTATTGAAATTTATAACATTTGCTTAATGTACTCACTTGCACTTGAAATTTTCAGGAGTTATGTCATGCTGGTGAGGATACTGGGAATCCCAACGCTGACATGGAATTCCATTCCAAATAGTATTGGTAGTGCCCCGGTAACCTTCTCCTTGACCTTGAATGCATTCAGTTGTTTCCATAGGGACATCAGTGTCATTTGTAGTACTATGAGCTATTGGCAAAAAGAAATACAAACTTAGACATAATATTTCAACATATCACCTACTTCCTGTAGCTTATGTTTTCATATTAATAAGGAATAAGAAATTCAACTTATCATTATTATTACCACCTTTCTAATTTTCCTTTCATGCAATTAGGTTATTAATATCACACTGTTCTGTTGTGCTACCATCCAGCTCCCTTTCTGACAACTTGAGTTCATTGTTAAATGATCTGAGCAGACCTGAATATATGGGGAAAGTCTTAAGACAG